ACTGTGGCCCTGTCGTAGAAGGCCACCACTCTAGAAATGAAGGCTCTTCTTAAGCTCTTCTTAAGCTCTCCTAGCAGGTGTAGGAACAATGCTGCCTAGCTTCTGATGGGATTTTGCCATCAGCTTATCCATTAAGATTGCAGCTATTGCAAATGGGCTCAAAGATATAGTATGAGGGTGAAACCAGACCAAACTAAGGGAGGAGAGATAATTTTTAAAGTGTCTATTAAGTGTAAACTATTTAAGGTCCAATATTGCATTTAGGAGGATATTATCCAACTAACATGGCCACTCTTAGTTTTACTCCTAAAATTATGCTTACCCTGGTCTCAAGCAGCCTAGTCTTTTCAGCATGCGCTTGTTTCAGAAGTCTCTCCATCTCTTCTATTCTTGCAACATTTGAAGTGCTAGCACTGCACACAAAAAAAACCAAACCAGAGTTATTTAAAAGAATACTTGGTATTTAAAGACATACTTTACAGTCCAACATTAGACAGTTTAAGAATGGAGTTGATATTGTTCTGATCCCATTCAGTGAAGCAGGCCCTAACAAAAAATGATGCATAAAGGATATGGTATACTCTCTATGTATACATTCCCCATGCAGAGTTGTGAACAATGCACTGCTGAGTGCCTAAAAATGCATCTCGTCAGTCCCCTGTGATCTGTCATCTTCTCCCAGATAACAGAATGTAGATAGAGGTGGTCACCATGTCCTAACAGAACACACTACCATTCCTCAGAGGTGGCATTAGTAGCCATCTGAATATACCAGTCTTTCTGGCTTTAGACTGTCTCTGCTTCATTTCTCAATGAGCTCATCATCAAAAAAGGCTTGATAAAAATAAGGAGGGTTAAGAGATATGCATAAAGGCCATTCAGTGACAGAGCAGTGTCAGGAAGGATCTACTAGTTAAAGTAACTGGCAAGCCAAAGAAAGAAGGTTAATTGCAAAGAGTGCTAGATCCTGGCCCAGCAGAACACAGCTATCCCCTTTTGCCTGTCCTTTTTTCCCCTTTCATTTCTTTTCTCCAATACAGTTTCTTTTTTTCATCTCAATTTACCAACCATTTCAACTGTGACATTTCCATGGCATGCTCTCTATTTTATTTTGCACCTTATGCTGTTCAAGAAAAACTGTTGATGTTAAATATTACTGTATTACCATTAATAATGCCATTAGACTGAAGCACAATGTGAGGAAACAGAATGGATTCAAATGTTTAGGGCACAGAGAAACTTGACCTGAGATTGCACTGAAAATGCTATCTGACCACTGAGGTGGAAATGGGTGTCAGACCATAGAATCCTATAATGGTTTGGGTTAGAAAGGACCTTAAAGCTTGTCTAGTTCCACCCCCCCCTGCCACATAAGCTATGTGCAGAGGCTTGAACTACCTCTGATACCACAAACTGCTGAAGATGGCAGAATCGTTCATCCTACTTAACAGCATACACACCAACTCTGAAGGGACACAGGTAGAATGGAAGTAGTCCAAATATGTGTCCTGGGCAAGGAAAAGAAAAATAGTAAGAAAAACATCCTTCATTTTTGAGCACGCATCTGACAGTTATGTCTGTAAGACCAGGATTTTTGTCAGAAGTGTGACAGTCTTCAGAACATGTTTCTTTGTCTGATACTGGGGGTAGGTTTCATGAGAGGACACAATACAAAAATAACATACCTCATTTAACCCAAGCTTGCAGAAAAGGTGTAATCCATCTGAAATCTAGCTAAGCTAGATAGCCTGAGCTTTTAGCTTATTGTCTCTGAAAAAAAAAAGGGTGCCACTGACTTAAATGCCTAAGCCAAGTTTAGCCACACTATGTTTAATTGATGGGCCAGAAGAATCTGGGTGAAATAACTTCAGTAAAAGCAATGGAGCCATAAATTAAATCATCTGAGCAAACCAGTAAATAGTCAGTCGCACTAGGTTTTCGCATATAAAACTTGCTAATACTTTGTCTTAGTTAAATTCTTTCATCCTTGATTTGCTTATCTTGCTCACAGAAATTAAGGCATAGCTGAAGATCATAATCTCTGAAACTTCAACCACGAAAAATTAAGTTGCTAGTGAATCTTGAAACAACTACTGCTTGGTGAGTTGATGAATGATTACAGTAGTTCTGTTTCTTCTGTATTTTGAGAACAGGCAGATTTTAAGCATTTTCAGAAAAAAAAAAGGTCTCTCTCACCTTATACAAAGTAATATATACCTCAAATATTTTAAATGTGTCAGAACAAAGCAAGATAAATTGTTTTTCTTTAAAGTCTGATATGACTAGAAAAGATTCTCAAGTACCACCTAAACCAATCTGAATTCATTTTGCTTAAGGGAAGTTTTGTCAAGGAAAATTAACCGCCTATCTTCCAAGACTTGTCAATGAACTCAGACCACGCTCTTTTCTTCCCTCATCAATCTTTGCCTTATGAGAAACTGAAGTGTCTGTTATATTAGGTCCTTTTCTGGTTTTTGTATGGGTTGAGTTTTTTTTGTGTTTGGATTTTGTTTTTTTCTTCTGGCATTGGTGGGAAGCTGCAGAAGAGCCAGAGGGTGGCAGATGGGCAAACTGTACCAGTGAAATTCAACAGCTATGTGGGCTCCCCAGTCCTGGGTTGGAGATTCCACTTACAAGATGGCCCCGTGGGAACTCAGTCACCCACCATCTTCCTCCAAAATGGTCAGAGCAGCAAGTCAAAAAGAGACAGATTTCATACCACTGCAGAGATAAGAGTTAATTTCCAGCCTGTCTCCAGCTATCGGAAACTTGCCCACTGTGTATCTATTTAAAACAAAAATCCTCAAAACCCGAGTCCTAATGCTTTTACTTTAAAAAACCAACCAACCAAACCAAACCAATCAACCAAAAAAAACCAGCCAGCAGAATCAGTGCCACTGGTATTTTCTGAACCCTTAACATTGCAGTGATAAGGACTGCAAGAGGAAATCAGTGGGCTGATACCCTGTTAGAGGAAACAGATGCTGAATAAAACACAACATGCTAGCCAAAAAAGCTGTCCTTGTGTTCAGAAGGGATTCTTAATCCTGTGACAACATTGTACTTAATTATCAGCCTCCACTTATGCTTGTGAAACTGCTGGGGCAGGACTGTGAGCAGAAATGAAAGTGCTATCATTAAAACCAGACTGTCAGAAGAAAATTGTCTTCACACAATTTTGAGACTCCATTGGATGTTTCTTTTAACATTGATCATTGATGTTCTTTTCATCTGAGGAGTGGTGAGTGGTCTTTTCATCCAAGTGAGGATGAGAAAAGCAGCCAAGGGCTCTAAGCCTTTCAGTGTCATCTCCTGTTTTTTTACTGACCCAGAAAAGGGAGAAGAAGGGGCAAAAAAGACCATCAGAGGAGCCCTAAGTGTTTCAGCACAAGTGTCTAGTAAGTTAACATACTGGACTTGCAGAACAAATGTACTTCTTTGCCAGCAGCTGTCTTCAAGGTATTTCCTATCACAGGAAATTCCTTCCTAGTAGTGACCAGGGAAGGAAGCTCAGGTATTACCCACTCTGAAAAGAATATCAACAACTTCATAATTTCAGTTCAGGACTGACACTGATTCCTTTGTGGCCTTCAACATATCGCTTAGCCTCTCCATATTTTTATTTTCCATCTTTAAATAAACAGGTGAGGTGACAGTTAAATCTGATGATGAAAGGCTACACAAATACTAAATATTAAGCCTATCTAATGACCTTATATTTTCTTAACCAGTTAGCAGCATTCACATTGCCATAGCATCACCATCTTCTCTTTTTTTGTTATAACCCTATGATATTATGACATCAGAAAGAAAGATGATTGACCTGGAAATGTTATCTGGTGAGCATGCTGATATGCTTGTCTCCATACTGTCAGAACTGTCTAAGCTTAATGTATCAAAGGCATGGTCCTTGTAACTACGGTCTGGGTAATGGAAACTATTCAAATATACGTTCGATTCGGATGCTGTTCTGCTGTAGAATTCAGGAGACTTCTGCCTTTGGTTTTCACAGATCCGTTGATGATTATATCCTGCAGAGAACAGAGGAAACTTTTATTTTACACAGAAATTTTGTGACCTGAACATAACATGCCAGCAGCACAAGCATTTTGAACATCACCTCAGTCTTAACTGCACTACGACCAAGGTACTACAATGTTACGGTTAATTTCACAAGTTAATCATAACTGAAATAAAACCCTTAAATACCTGTTTTATCTATGACGGACACAAATAAATGCAGATTAGTATGGCTGACTTTTCAATATGTATTCTTGTATGCGTATTAGGAAAATGTAATTTGAATTAATGAAATTTTCATTTTAAAATGAAAATTAGGCCTAATCTGGAAAGTAATGCAGCTAAATTCAGGAATCTAGAAGAACTGAAACCAGTTAAATTAAAGGGAAAAAAGAAGTCTTGACATCAATGGTCTTGAGTACTTGTTTGGTTGATTTTACTGAATGTGGATTTTTTTTTCTTGTCTATTTGGGGAACTTTGCCTTCTGGTAACTGCAAAGTTACAACATTTAAGTTCTTTGTCTTGTTGTTTTTCCACAAAATCACCCTTCCTGAAAAGTCATCCTTCTTGAACACAATGAGCTTTGTTTGGGTATGCTTCCTTTGAAAAATATTTCTTCTGAATTATTTTTATCTCATGTTTCCATTGCTCTTTCTAAATAATGCAGCAGTATTTATGCAGACTTACAGAGAGGTTGTTGAGCTTGCCTGATGAAGAGGAGAGTATAATGACAGTTGTCATTTTAACTGCTCAAGTTATTTTACAGTGCCCTTTTAAGGTTTGTTTAATCTATGTGCTTACAAATGCAACTGCACTGCTCATCTTTTCCTTCAATCAATGCAAATGCAAGAAGTGAGACTTTCTCACAGCTCTGATTCTCAGTCAAGTTTATAATACTATCTACACATTCCTGACCGAAAATTTGAGCTGGTGGCAAGGTCGGAGGTTAGGAAGGACTGTCAGACTACATGAAAAGCTCCCATTCGTACAGGAAGGCAGCCGCTGACATTCCACATATTTAAGATAAACAGACACAGGAAAAATGCAGACAAATGAACAAATGCAGTAAAGTCCAGATAAAAACTTTTACTAGATATCATTAAGACACTGATGTTAGGAAAACATGCTTAAAGTGGGAACATTTTCCTACCTTATTCTCATTCTTTATCTGCACATACAAGGCTACTGTCTAGTATTTTTTGCCATGCCACAGCACAGGGGGTCCCAGTTCAGGGAGCCAACAACTGCAGCTCTACCTTGGAAAGGCTATAATATTCTCCAAAAGATATCTGAAAACCATGACTGAAGCTGAATAATTAAAGCATATTATTAAATAAATCATGCCCTACAAGCATTTCCAAGGCAGATGGTTTACTCTTTCCTCCTCACTTTTTTCTGTACCATACAAAGGTTTCTCACAGACAATTAAAGCGGGTTTCTAAGGAACTAATAGGACTAACCATTTGAAAGAACACTAATTTTCAATAAAAGCTCAATTGCACCTATTAGTCAAAGAGACAAAAGGGACACAAATACACTTCAGCATTTATAAACAGCATCACACAGCACAGGTGTTACTGATTCATATGTGCAGTTTGAGTTTTTTCCCCATTATTATGGCAAACGCTGCTGTTATTGCAGATATGCAATTACCTTTCATACTCGAACCTTTGGAATGACTAACTGCTCCTGTAAAATGGTTATCAATTATTCATTATGGGAAGAAAGTAAAAATAAATTACTGAAAGAAACTGCTTCAAATGAATGTTTTTTCTATTGAGCCTTTTACAAAACCTTGACTACTCAGAAATTTTAATTTCGTATCTTATATTTCACTGAAAAATAGACCCATCTAAAAGGCATACACAGCAATCCTACAAACACTCTCCTACAGGAAAGTCAGCTTTCCATGACGTTTAAGTAAAACATTTGTCACTTAAATTTATGTAATCATGCAAAGGTAATCAAATACTGCAAGAAACATACAGTCATTAGCTCGCAGAATGAGAAACATTCACAGAAGCAGAGCCTAAACGCGATCGTGCAGTAAGCAATGGGCACTTCAAAGCTCCGGATACTCCTAGACACCAAGAAACCTCACAACCAACCTGCTCCCATTACAGCCCCACTTACACATCACACAGGCACAAGCTATTGCTTAAGGAATTTTTAACTGCTCAAGTGCCTATTCATGGAACGTGCACTTAAAAACATTAGACTCTTCGTAAGATCCAGCACTTCATTAAAGTTTCCCACAAGCCAAGACTTATCTCAGACAAGTTTAAGCTGATCCAAGAGCTAAAATGTTTTTGTTGCATTGGCTTATATTCTATGTAGTAAGCCAGCAAACTTAACACTTTTAACAGCCATATTGTTAAGCAAAATATTGGAAATATTTGTAAAGCCGTATCATCCAAAAAAATCCAAAAGAGTTATTGCAGAATCACAAAATGCAGATATATCACCACAAAATTATGGTGAGGTCAGAACTATAGGTGAAAGCTGTTACTGAAAGTAGCACTATCAAGTATGTTAAAAAATAGTACTTCATAAAAACAATCATGGTACAACATTTTCTTTTATTTCCTTTTTTTTTTTTTTTTGAAGACTGACATTAACATGTCAGGATACATTTTGTGTATGGAATCATGCCAAAGTAGGAAGCCCAAGTCTGTCTACCTTGTCATTGTCACCCATAGATTTGCAAAGATTTCTAAATTTTCTGCTCTACTTGTGCGGCCATGAGCAAAGAAGCAGAAAATTAGGCCGGCAAAAGCTGTAGCTCTGCAGATATTAGCATTAATCACAAGTTTTGTTGTGACAGGTTATTTGACAGCAGGAAAAAAAGGATCTTTTAAGTGCTGTCATTATTTAACAATTATTTAAAAGTTTTCCAAGATTTTGGGAACTACTTGATAGTGCTGATGCAATCCATACTTTTGCCAAAACATGACAATGATAGACACAGCCAGATAAAGGGATGTTTTCATACCTTTTCTGGCTTTTCCTGAGTTCCGTAGGAGTTAAAAAAAAAAAAAAGTTTGAAAAGCTTATAATTTTTTAAAATATTTTTTCTTAATAACTTAGTATTTCCATTCAAATTGTTGTATCTTTCAAAGACTAATGGTCATCTTCTAGTACGGCAGGAAGTATAGCACACATGGTTCCTCATGGCACATGTGCCAAGTGCCTTAACAAATACATCTCTTGCTCTCCCCTGCCTCTTTTCTTTGTCAGGCCATAATTCAGTTTTGGTTTGTGGGGTGTTTGGGCTTTTTTCCCCCCTCACTCTTAAGTCAAGAAATCTGTCCATACTCTTAGGATTTTCTTAATTGCATGCTGACCAAAAAAAAAAAAAAAAAAAAAAAAAAAACATTAAAACTGATCAATTTATTTTTTAAACTGTTATCTTTGCCTATGTTAGGTTTGGTAACACTTTGGTTTTTTAGGTTGCACACTAATGCTCCTTTGCAACCATTTTACAAAAATATTGCCAATTTTAAACATGTGATCTCTTGTCATCAAAGTTTAGCCAAACCAACCTTACTGATTTTCAAACTGAAACAAAGTGTTTTCTGCACAACAGCATAACAATGGGTATCAATATACCTGCAAGCAATTCCACCCTTGCAAATGCATTACATCAAAGCAGCTTTCCAAGCTGAGCATGAAGCTCCTTTTGTATCACGTCTGAAATATATCAAGATAAGTTAGCCACAGCAGGGTAAGTAAGGAAGGCCTACTGCATAACTAAAGCTCAGAAAAACCAAATCACAACTGGATCAGCTCTACAAAGCAAATGTAGTAGGTCATAATCCCTTTTTGGCAAGCTTGTTCTACGCCTGCACTGAGTCATCTTGGTGCATATGGCTGACCTCAGTCAGGCTCTTTGCCCTTTAACAGCTGCTAGCTCTTACAAGCCCTGTAACAACAGGATGGATCCTATCTCAGCTCAGGCCTAGGCAGTGCAATTCTACAGAATGACCTCTGGCATTTATATTAATAAGGATGCTGCAGATGCCAGAAAGAAAAGAAACTGACAGATGGCACTGAAGCAACTCCATTTGAAGACGGGACACTTACGAATAATGCATCTCACTAAAGCAGAAATTAAGTGTATTGATTCAAGTAGACAAACAACAGACACAGAATGCCATAGCTACAAGGTCATGTTTCAAAGATGTAACTTCCTTTTGGATCCAGAACCGTCATGTCCCTACTACAAAAATGCAGCCATCTATCCATGATAATACACCTCTCTCCTTTACTATTTTCTAACCAAATAATTAAGACCGGTGACAATAGCACAGTTACAGATTCTCAAAGGTAAGTCATGATACTAAATCTCTGTCTGGGGAATTACTTTGTCCAGTCAAAAATACATGGCCATGAAAAACAATTCTTGAGATCACAACATGAAAAGAATTATTAAAAAAAAAAGGAAGAAAGAAGAAAGCAACATGTAAGATCTTTAATATATTGCCTCAAAATCACTCACAGAAATTACACAGTTAACCCAAAGTGTATTTTTCAATATACTTTTCTTGTTTACTTGATTATATTTGGTGACCATGTACTTCAAAACTAAATGTGTGCCTACATCAGCATCCTAGCATCTGATACCTGCAAACTACATATAGAGCTTGCTTTTTTTACCAAGAAAGAAACTTTTATTTTACAGCCCTGCTGATTATAGAAACACCAGTTTCAGACTCATTTTCTGAAAGATTAAATGCTGAATTTTAACAGCAATGAATCAAATTAAAAGGTCTTACCTTTGTGCATCCTTCTCGACTCTGACTCTTTGGTCATGGTTGCCAGGCAGTGAGGAAGTACGCTGCCGCAGCTGTTGCTCTGTCCTAATGGTAAATGTCCCTGCAGGAAATTTTGTTAATAAGTGCTTAAAACTACAGTTCAAGACTTTTTTTTTTGTAGCAGCAGCTAATGGTAAAATAACTTGCTTTGTCATGGCTATCAAGGTCACATCATATCAATGAGCCATGGACATTTCAGTAGTGCACAGTCTCTATTAGACCAAATTGTTTTCCAAACAGTATCTCCACTTCACTGCGGTTTGTTGATTTACCATGCCAGAAATAAAGAGTATTTTCACTTTATACACAGCTTTAGCATTTAGAGGCCTTAGGTAGGAAGGAAAACCATCTGTTGAGTCTTTACAATGAATTTAAACTAAAACAGCCTGGAAATACAATCCTTGAATAATCAAAATGCAAGATCACTCTTGCAGCACGGCATTTCCAGAGGTCAGAATAAAGGCCGGGAGTATGAAAGGCTGGATATGGATATTCCCATATGGAATATTCCCATATATGGATATTTCCACATGTTAATAACCCCAAATTTATTTCAAAGTCAGTTTCAGTTGTGAATTTAGGGGTTTACCTAATGCTTACAGTGCTACTCAACCTTACCTCTAACATAACATGTTTTTATATAGACACTGGAAGGCTACTAATAGCATGCAACTACGTACTTTAGATGCAACGCTTCGTCCAAGTGTAGCACTATTGAAGTGTGGCGACACAGACGGAGTTGTTTTCTTGCGAGGTAAAGTATCGCTCATGTACATGCATTCCCTGTGCTGCTTCTTTCGCTCTTCCAGATTTCTGAAATGCTTCAAATATAATTTGTTACACAGTTTTGACAAACTGAATTGACCTACTTGCTCAGTTATGCTCTATATGGAATATACTGAAAGTAATAGTCTGGGAACTTCACTGGAAGAAGAAAATCTAAAATACAGAGTACCTCCTGCTGCATAATGTTTTCCAGCATTTCTACAAATATCACATTTAAATCATGCTGATTAAGAAAATAGATTAAATTCATGTGCATATTTTGTGTACATGTCCCTGTACCAAATTTTTTTTGAAAAACTCAAGTCTAGCATACAAGTGGATTATGCAGAAAATCATTTATTTACGAGTTACTGTAATGAACTGGTGGATTAAAACTGAAAAAGCTTTTGAGAGGCTCTGTTCAAACGTGTATGAAAAATTAATTTAGGATTTGAAAGGCAGCCACCTGTACTTCATTGCTGCAAGTCTTCTGTCAGTTACAATGGCTTCTAAATATTAGTATTTGCCTCTGGATTGTTTATATATGTAGAATTTTTGTTCAGTAATATTCTATAATGTATTGTGTTGATTTTTAAAAGAGCAAAGCCTTTAAGTGCAACACTTCACAAGCACAATCAACTAGTGATCTATCATTTCACTCTAAAAACTTTGCAGATAAATCAAATCCATGGCCACCATAACAAAAACAAATAAAAATAATAATCCCAAGTTATCAGCTTTTAATCTGTTACCTGTTGTTGCCTGCGGTGTTTCTTAGCTGGCAGAGGTGGAGGTGTATCAGATAAAGGAATAGGATCTACATGAGTAGCCATGACCTCAGGCCAATGGACTGATGGAAGTTGAGCAATAGAGCGAGGAGAAAGAGAGTGAGGAAACACAAATCCAGAACAGATTGGTGATCTTAGCTTTATAGAAAAAAGAGAAATTACACATAGAGTTTTCTTTCTGGAATTGCTCAAAAGATACGGCACATACAAGCTGCAGTTTTAGCACTGTATTTGTTGGAGCATTTAGCAGGAAAGATGCGTTGTATTGCAACACTCGATGCGTATTTAACTACCAGAAGTAGCACAGAAATGCCAAATTCTAAACCCATTGCTGCTGCCTTATTGCAACAGAAAGATAGGCAGCTTTACATTCATAAGATTATTCCTTTCCTTTAAAAGGGGATATATTCAAAATTTGCTATGGTCATTATAAAGGCAAAAACATCACAAAGAATGAGAAAAAGAGAGAGTAAGCTAGAAGACACAGATCGGACAGGTTCTGTGGAACAGCTAAGGTAAGTAGAAGGTACACATCTCCCCCAAGTATTCAAGATATACTTCTTCTACCACCTCACAAGGGGAAAAAGAAAAAAAAAAAAAAAGCTGCAAAACATACAAAAGTAACACCTACGCACCACTGAATGAGTAATCAATAAATGTTTCCACAGACTGTTTCTCCAAAGGTGCATTACATTATAGTGTTTGACAGGCAAAGATTGTCACTTATTGCTGCTTGGGTCATAAACATTCAGGTTTTTTGGCCTTCAAAGTCCCATCTATTTCGTCAAAGACAATTTACAACTGAAGCTGTCCTTCAGCTTTACTAGTAAACTGTTATCCGACTTGGTAACTGGCAGATGGCAGTTTGCCTCTGGGCCATTTTTTTTGTTACATACTGAATTACCAAAAAAAAGAAAAAAAAAAAGAACATAAAAAGTCAGCCATGAAAGAACAATGCAAACAAAGGGAAACATCTCTCAAACAAACCTCTTTATTTTGTGGCTGGCTGGTCAGCACAGCCGTGGAAGGCTCAGTGGCAACTGCTTCAGCATCTGTGAGGGGCTGGGTGGAAGGGGATATATTCGTGGAATTGCCATACAGCTCACTAATTTCACTTACACTGATATAGCCCTAAAAGGAGGAATTCAGAGGTTAAAAGGAGCAAAAGCCAAAAGACGTGCAAGAGTATTAAGGTATCCAGTACGATGAAAGTTAGTTTAGAGTGATACAGCCACATCTGTTATCATTGAAATACTTCATCATAAATAAAATTATCATCAAGCTTGTCAAATGTTGAATACTTGGATTCTGAAAATTTTCCTTCATTTAAACAAATACATTTGTGTGATCAAAAAGCAAATGTACTTTAAGTGACCAAAAGACTTTACTAAAAAGTAAATACCCTTTAGAAATTAAGTCGCTCTTACTCAGGAAAGCAGGTTGGAGAAAAAGAACAGATTTTATTCACCCATTTTTTAATTTCTCCCCTCTTCCCCCATGTTTAAATAAAATAACTCTGATTAATTTCTTGCCTAACTTTTAAGCTAGTTTAAGCAAACTAAATGACCAACAGAACTGGGAAGAACTTACATAAGGACGTGCCATGCCATTGTTACTCTATAAATTACACTGACACAACACCTTCCATTTGCATTGTCTAGAAGTTGATTCTTTTAGGTGTTACTGGGAGACTCAGGTAAGATGCTGTTAGTATTAGCCCCATAGCCATTACAATTTGTCCTTTTTTTTTTTTTTTTAATATAATCATACAGGAGATGATGGACTGAAGAAAAGCATGGACATTAGAGTGAGCTTCTGCTTGCAGAGAAGATTTATGCAGGCAGATCTGAGATACCATGGCAGAATACAATTATTGCACGTGTTCTGATGTTAGCTGAATAAGTATTATTTAAAAAATAAAATATGGAATCTAGTCCACAGTGTATAGGATGCCAGACTGCAAAAGAGAAAAGGTCCTAACTCCTTATTCACAGAAAACAAAGCTATGCAAAAGGAATATATTACTGTTGAAGCAGTATCATAAAAAATTATATAAAAATATGCTTTTAAATTGAGAAGGTGTCGAAGGGGCTATGTTTCTATTACTGTACCAGCACACTGACATGCCAGTAGGTATACTTTGGCAGTCAGTAACAGAAGCCGCAGACTGCTATTATATTTCTTCTGTTTTAAAAACGCATACGTTTAGCAATGGTCATAGAAGGCAGGTTGAAAAAAATACCAACTCTATTACCCATTAGCATAATTTTTAATGTATTTTATCAATTATTTCAAGCAGATAGACAATTCTGGAAAATTAAGTACCACACTGTGAACACAGCACTGTAGAAATAGGAGGGAAATCTTGACTCAGGTACCATTTGATGAACTATTAAATGAGAAGGAGACTGGGTAAGATACTAAAGTTACCCTCTCAAACCATGTGGCTATATTACAGTAAAATAGACTCCAGAATGAATAAACATAAAATTTTCTTAACCATCTTGTTGTAGCAGTATATCAGTAACCAAAACTTGGCAAGTCTATGAATGCAACATTATATTTATTCTTATAGATAAAAAAGTGCTGTCACCATTATATAAAAACCATTCAGTTTAGACTCACAACCACGATGGGAATTCACCATGGGATTAAAAAAAATAAGCAAAAACCAAATAATTGTGCTGTGCATTAGCTCAGGCCCCTATTATCTTAAGATTAAATAAATAGTTTCAAGTCAGATTAGGCATCCAAGTAATTTTGTCAACTCTGAACTTCTAAACAATATTGCTTTTTCTCAGTTATTTAAGTACTGTGTTAAGCATCCTGCCTTTTTACATGAGGCACGTTACTCTCTATTGCTATGCATGCAGAGAGTAAGCTTCATGATGGATAGGAGAGAGTCACAAACATGTGCTTTGGTGAGGAGGAACCCAGAAATGTTGGACTGCAGGCTCCACTGATACATGAGCAACCGCGTGGTGAAATTAACTTCTGTGTGCAGGCAGTCTGTTTAAGCCTGCCTACCACTTGGTGCCTGATTTTTAAAGGTGCTAGAACAGTTGGAGAAAAATTAAACTGGACTGAGACAAACATAACATCTGGCAAGGAATGGCATTTCTTTTATAGGACAGAGCCTATGGGGATAACGAGCATGGAACAGATAACGCATGCTGTTCCTTCTCTCATTTACCTTAGAGTAAGTCCTAAGTGACTTCACTGCGGTGAACAGAATGACACCACTGAATAATTCATTTCAATAAAAAGAGCATCAGGCTCCCTTAATGTAGCTGAATTTTGAAAGATCTGTGATTAAGCAAACCATTATGTGGATATGCAGATAAAAATCAGAGATAACACCTATTCTCTAGTGACAGAATGAACAGATCCATCTCAAAATGAAAAAAAAAAAAAAAAAAGCTTAGACTTGCCAGAGGTCCTGGTGGGAGGTGAGATTTCCAGATCAGAGTGCCACCTAGGACACCAGAGGTCAAAGTATCTGCAATATGGCTTGCAGTGAGGAATGATGCTCAACCCCACTGGCACATGCTGGAGGCCACCTGGGTTCACCAAGAACTTCAAACCCAAATAAGCAAGATCACATTTCCCCGGTGCCGAGAAGACACACGGTTACTTTAGATTTCAAGAGCTCAACTTCCCACAGTGAAACCTACATCGTTAGATGGGGCAGACCTTGTTCAGGGTTTCGATAGAAGCCGATCCAGCAAGTCCAGTCACACCTCTTAAGCAGAAGTTACTGAAGCAGCTACAGATACCGGTCTGTATTTTAAATGCTAGATTTTCTGTTTCTCCATTTATAACTTCATGATTATCTGCAGTTTGCAGATTCATCTAGTCAAGGCCCAGAAGATAAATACAGGGAGTTAATACTAGTATCATAGGTGCTGACTGAATCTTTATAATGGACTGTGGCTTAACTTACACTGACCTTGCTCATGGACCTTGAGGCTTAAAGCGGTACCCTCAAAGCTATGACATCTGGACAGCTGCAGATAAGCTCTGGGTCTCATCATGCCTTAGCCAAACTCACTCATTTTCTTTCAGCAAAAAAATATTTGACACCTTTACTCTAACTATTCAAAATAGTTAAATAAACAGCTCAATAGGTATCTTAAAACCACAATGGCTTGAAGTCTTCAATTCAATGCTTTTTAAAAAGATCAAAATGTACACTTGTCATGCTTTACTACAGAGCCTTAGAATAAAAGGCTGGGAGGAGGCAATGATAAAATCTACAGTGCAAAAATAAGACTGAACTGTATTCGTACTTGAACAGAGTTATTCCTGGACCTCATTCTTGTTCACTTCAATGAGGTCTAATTTTCTATTATGAGAAAATTAGGCACATACCACCACCACCCCCACACACACATAAAAATAATTATTTTTCCAGAGCAAGAGATTAAGGCGATATCCAGGAAAATGCCAAGAAAACTATTTTTGCTCACACATGCATTTGGACTTCCATGGATAGCTTTACAATGTGATTTCATCACATCTCAAAAAAAAATTGTATGAATAGGATTTCACTAAAGTTACTAAAAAGCATTTAAAAGTTATAAACTTCTAAAGCATTTAAAGTTATTAAAAACCATTTATGGCAAAGTAAAAAGCAGTGAATCTATTTACCTCTTTTAGACTATTGGGACTGACAGAAAATCCCTTTCCTCCGGAAAGTGCGGAATATTTCTTTTCCAGATTACAGAGATTCTCTTTTTCCTGTTAAAACCAGACATTTTATGAAAAATACCAACAGCCACGTAGTGAAAACAGATGTTAGCAGTTTTCTTAAGTGTGTAAAGAAACACTGGGATAGAAGGCTAGAAACTGCACAGCAGAGCTTCAACTTCATCCATGTAGAGCAGAACTGAACAAAAAATGAAGATACAGAACAAAAAGCTAGTGAAAGATTTTATTTAATAACCACAGCCAAACCAAATAGGTCTTCCTTCAGCATCTTGAAAATGCTGATTCTGCTTAATGAACTAAACATGGTTTCTCTCATGATTAAAAGCAAACACAAAATGGACATGAAGGGTTCGTGCCAGCTTCTTATTAACCAGACGTATGCTGATGTTAAGTAGCTCATCTTGTGGCCTAGTATGGGCTATCACAAGCCAAAAATCTGAGCTCTCTGGTGCACAGTTCTAGCAGCCACATAGGAAGCACAGGCTTTCAGCTTCTGCACCCAGGTGGGTGCCTCTGGTTGAGTCCTCTGTAAGGGAAGCACCTCTAAAAACCTCTCAGTTATCAAATACCACTACCGTTTTCTCATAAGAAATCTGCTGATTAATTACAAAGGAGTTCTTTTTTTTTTTTTTTTTTTAAGGTTAATGGATACAAAATGTGCCTGTCACATTATTACCTACTTGTTAGTTTCTGCACAAGTGATGCTTTTCTCGTGCTCTTCTTTTGTTCTATGAAATGCTCTTTTATTACATGCTGAAAATATCTGAAAGTCAATAAATACTTACCCTTTGCAGCATCATTATTAAGTTGTTTTTCTCTTTTACAAAATGATCTTGTTCTCTTTGTGCTTGTTGGACAATATGATTGGCTTGTTTTTTGAGAGCAGATATTTTTTCCTAATATAAAAAGAAAATAATCACAATTTACATGTTTCATTTTCAAAGCACAAGACAACTTGCAGCAAGGATCCTATTCAGAAGAGTTCACTCATTCAGGAAATAAAGAATTTACAAGACAGCTTACTTCTCTGAAGGAGATAATTAAATACGATTTACACAGTAACAAGACAATTTATTCAAGACAAAACAAAAGAACAATTGCATATATTATTTTATAACATAGTGACCAGCATCCATATACTGAAAAGAACTGGTTTAGAGATGCAACTTCTGACCTCTGAAAAAATGGTATTTAATTGGTTGAGATAGGACCTTTACAACTGATTTAAAAAATAAGATATTTTCTTCATTTGGTGTTCTATTATTATTTTAACAAAATAATTGAACATCAAGATCAAACATGTGCATAAAATAAGTGCAGTTTTGTCCAGAGTGTACAAATCTTCCTTAAAGAAGGAAAACTAACAGTCTGGTACTTTTTCATAGCAAATTAAAGGGTTTCATTTTCATATCCAAATATACAAACAGATCAACGAAGTTCCACGCTCTATTTCGTTTTGGAGAAGCGCATTATTTGATCTGTGTGGGATGTTACTGGGCCATCACCTTTGTTCTGCTGCAAAAGCTTTTTCAAAGAGGAAAGTTTTGCATTATTTCTCACAGATGAGCAGGTTATAGATCTATTTCATCTCCTTTATGCTCAAGAACAAAGAACAAATGAATTGTGTTAGTGCTTTACCTTTCTACTGACAATGCTACGCTGATATTCAGCTACTTCACGCAGGAGCTGTTGCGTCAGGTTTTCTTTCTCTTCATCTAACCTGCTTTCATGTTCAAGTTGCTGAAATTCCAAATCTTCAAAATGTTTGCTTTCTATGTCCAATAGGTCAGCATCCTTAAGCAACAACAACAAAAAAAGTAATCATGTTTTCACCGACTTCAGAATAGAGATACTTACAAACACACATAAAAATCAGTCTAAAACAGTGTTTACACATCTCATACAACATGTTCAAACAGCAGCTCAATGCTTTTAATAACCTACTATCACAATAAGGGAACAAATAGGGCTAATGATTATTTTGACGTTGGTTTCTCCATCGCTCCTACTGTCCCCCCCCGCTGAGAAACATGAAGTACCTGCATGGTGAGGGAGCTGTTTTGCAGCAATCACATCAAGCTGGAGCCTCTTAAGCACCGAGCACACCACAGCTGGGCATATCACTCTGCTGTAGCCTAGCTGCGACACCACGAAAGCCTGAACCCGTGCAGTGACATTGTCATGTGCCAAACTGGGACAGCATTACTGCTTGCCAACCAAGGACAGAAAGTATCATCCCAGGAACACCAGAGAACAGCACACCGAATTAACTAATTATGGGAATACGTACTCAAATGAGGGAGTCTGAACCGCAGTTAGAGTTTCTTAAGTCTAGCCCAAGCACCGGCACTGTTTTTATTAACAGACATACAGTCAGATAAGACAAAAGATACGTGGAGCTGTGTGCTGTCGGCACACTGTCATCACCTCAGCAGTCATGTCCAACCATACCAGCTGCTCAGCCAGAGGCTGATCGGGGACCGAACTGGAACTGACATTTGCTCCCTCTGAAAATACACAATTAAGAACTCTGGCCATCCACCCTAGCCAGTAGGTCCATTACTTCAGAAAAGTTATCAGCCCACTTTTATGCATTCTCCTGGACCAATGCCAGGTTTTGTCAGGAAAAAAGAGGTTGAATGCTGCAGAAGAGACCCCAGAAATAAGAACACACCTGCCTTCCGCTTAGGGATGACAAGATATAACTTATGGTGCTTTTCAGCACAAGAAATTAATGCTAATCTTTCTCCTTCAATATCTGCGTATTCATAACACAAATCCCTACTTACAAGTTCCAATCTTCTGAAGAAAAAGGTGTTTTCAATAATCACAGTATTATTAAATGCTAAGGCTCTCTAAAATAGGCATATTGTACACGACTTTTTATGTAAGAAAACCTACATCCTGTAAGCAATATATAATTTTGGAGAAATGCAAACTTACTCCTTTTCTTATTTCAACCTAAAGCAAAGGTTAGCGACTGAGCTAAGCAGATATGTCTCTGTAAAGGCATTCAAAACCAGCTTCCAACGTGCCAGAGAAGACATAGGATGCAGAAGCTGAAGAATACAAGTTACTATATGAAATACCAACATTTTCGCATCATTCTCCAGAGATGTGCCTTCCATTTGTAAGAGGCAGCAAAGAGACCAAAAGCAAAGATGCAGGCTATAAATTACAAGAAAGTGGTTACCTACAATACAAAAATGCTTCATTCAAACTAGTCAGTCATCTTCAGCATTCAAAACAAATGGAAAGGCTTTGCATGGGCCATGGAAGTCAATAAGGTCAGGCTTTTTTATACCAAAGTAGTTGCTACTGAGGCAGAAGAAGAGACAAACTTCAGAGAAGGCAACTGATTGGCAAAAAGGCAACTGGTAGCCAGTTCAGCTCATGAAGCACTGTATTCTTTGGACAATGTGCTATGGAACAAGAATTTCACCACATTCTGTACCACTATGTCCACTGGGGGGAAAAAAAAAAAAAAGCCTGTACCAAATTTGAAACCAAGTCAATTTTCAAACTTAAAAACTTCTGAGGGGTAAGTGGCAGTAAGCCTAGCTCTACCTGTGGCTGCAAGCACACTTCAGCAAGATCACCAGACAGGCAGGCCCACGGGGACCAACACCCCGGGCATGGCCACAGGGGCGCAAGGTCTGGCTCCGAAAGATGCCCACTCAGTCCTTGCCATGATCTTCACAGGGATTCTACTTGTCAACAAAGGATTTGTAGGAAAATGATTGTTCTTGCTGTAGGTAATGGCTTCCTGAACCAAGTAGCAAGTATACTCCCCTTCCCTTTTATTAAAACAATAGACATCAAAATATTGTAACTTATAATCTGTTAACAAACAACAGGCACAATGTTTCTGTGTTGTACTTCCAAACCATAAATTTCTTTGGCATCTCCATTACTTCTGTAATGGCACTGGGGAAAATTTGATCCACTTCAGGATGTGTTGGGAGCTTCATAGGCCCACAACATCTGCAAAAATTATGTGAATTTTATCTGAAGAGTAAGGCATTTCCTAGCACTGGACAGTGTTTTTTCAGATCTCTGCAGGAATCCAGACATCTAATCTCATTCTTCTTTTATGCATATCTTCATAAACCCAGGCACATGAGAACAAATAAGCTTTGGCACTTTCATACTGACAGTGAAGGATGAAGCATGCTAATTAACTTTCAGTAAGCCATCAGGAAGATCAATGGTTTCCCTCAGTGCCTTCCACAAGTCCCCAGGTTTCACCAGTCTTCGATGACCTGTCCTCCCTGCCCAACAGGGATGGCAAATATTCATTACAGACACCAGGAAGCAGCAGCCCTTCAGCTGCCCATGCAGAGTGGGCATGACTGCCAAGCACAACTTAAACTCCATCCCCACCCTGCAGGCAGCTGTACAGTGAAATTGGCTGCTCACTTCTCTGGACACAAATTGCAAAGTTACTACAGTCCCAGAGATGAAGCAATAAGGGAACTCGTCACCTCGCCACCTACCATGTTAGCAGGCAAGCAGCACAACGTAACATGCTGGAGACTCGAGTATTTAATCCTGGACTGGGCTGATTTGGGGAGGAAGAAGAGATTGCCTATATTTTGGGTACGATCCTTACAGTAATTTCATAACTGCTCACTTGATATCCATTTGAGAGATACTGTGCACTAATTCAGTGACAACTTCTGCTGCTTCAACAACAGCAGCCACAGCTAACTTTCACTACAGTTGTCCTGAAATAATGCAATAGGACTAACTGGACATTTAAGTGCACCCCCACATTTCAAGTTTTGTGCCACTTTCAAATACAAAATTGTTACTAAGCCAACTTGGAAGGAACAAAAAAAACTAAAAAAAGATTTAACCAGACAGATTTCTAGAAGCCTCTTGGTGGTCAACAGTGAAAAAGGATTTACTACCATCACACTGCAACAAGACTGTAACTTCTCATGAATTTATACATTACCTTCAAGCACATGACTGAACAGGAAAGGCTTCCTTTACTTGTAATATGTATGAGAAATTACATGCTACTGATTGTCTCAAAACCAGCAAACTTCTCAGTTACTACAGAAGAATTTAACATTGTTATTTCCAAAGCTGGACTTTATTACTGTTTGCTCCTCGAAAAAAAAAAAAAATAGAATTCTGCAAATGAAACAAAATCTAAAGAATATTTCCTATAAAGCAAAAAAGCCATTTTTTGGTCACTGCTATTACAGACTTTATTCCTGATATAAAGGTTCAAGACAGAGGGGAAAAAAACCAAAATCTAGTTTGACTTTCAGATGGCCTCTTGAACTTGCCATATCGATGCCTATATGTGCTGTAGAACCCACTTAACATTAATAAATCCTAAAATCTTTACACAGAAAATAACTGTACCTTCACAGACAATATTGTAACTCTTTCGGTTACAAATAATACAAAATAAAATCAAATTACAATTAGACTTTATGCAAAGGTTATTACACCAACATGCTGCTGTTGAAAATGTAGGAACAAATAAAGCTATTAAAATAAGTAGTATAATCTTAAAAATTATTTTTTCAAAGCACAGTTCAGGCTAACAGCTAAGATATATACTGAAAAAAGAAAAGATAAATTATCTATGGTTTCACTGAGACAGCCGTTTACAGCATTGCAAAGGAGGAGCACACAACAGGATCAAACAACAATGACAGGAAAATGCTGCTAAAATGGCTGATGCCAATGACCGAAGTTAAATTCCTGCCTTTGCGCACACAGGTAATGAGCAATGCTCCACTATCCATCTAAACATCATGAGAGCTTCCACGCCACCCAGCAAGCCTCAGGTGCTAATCAAAGGCTAGTAGCCCAAAGCTTTAAAAACACTCAACACAAAATGATTTCTAATCCACCCATTTGCACTCTACTTGTTTGCAAACATGCACATTATCTATTGCAAGCATTCCACACACAAAAAAAGATAACCCTCGTGAGTATTAACAATTATAAGTTGCAAACATGTCCACAGACTGGATACTTGAAACAATATGTTACACTTAACTCTAAAAAAAACCAAACCAAAACAAAAAACAAAAAAAAAAAGTTAGTGCAATCTTGAAACTTGCTACTGACCCTCTTCAGCTGCTGCTGTAATTGTTCCCTCATGGACTCAGGGCAATTATCAAGCTGCGTCTTCTGCTCGGAGTAAAGCTCCTGAAGCCTCTCTAGTTTTTCCCTCTCAGCATCAAGTTTTAATTTTTCCTGAAGCATGAACCAGAAAATAAACACAATTACCTTCAAACTCAAGCAGTTGTTAGTGATTATGAAAGTGTGTGGCAAAACTTTAACGAACAGTTGAAGCATGTAGGTCAAATCCAGAAAGCTCTTGTTAATTGTAATGCAATGGTGGGGTGCAAAATGATCAAAAGAAAACATTAATCATTTTAGTGCAGTGATTAATTCTCTCCCTCGTCACTGTGTTTTCTATCTGTGCCTGGATGATGACATTAAAGCCCACTGTCCAAACACTTGTCTCACCTAGTGAAAAAAAAAGAAAAAAAAAAAAGAAAAAAAAAAAAGAGGAAATTGTAGCCATGTTAGTGTGGTAACTGAAGGAGACAGAAGAGAGTAGCTTTTAGGAAGCAAAATGGATGGAAAATGACCATAGTCTGGCAGTGAGGGGAAAATGGATCTTCCCAGGAGAATGAATTACATGCCTGTGTGCCTCTGTACAGATCAGTACGTTTAGCAAGCAGTTAAAAACCAGAACAAGACAGAGCTTTATAAAGAAGCAACTCGGCCAGGAAATCCTGTTGCAGCAAAAACACCAAGTGATGTAGCAAATTAATTCATTTGTTTCAGGGTACAGGAGCTGTAACCTGTTCTTGGGGATCAAAGGGACCCCTAACCTCCCTGGTCTCCTCCAAGTAGTACAGCTTTCCTCTCGTTCCACTCGAGCAGCAGTACTCGGCACACTGCTTCTCACCCTCAAAAGCCTTTAACCTTTAAACCTTTGTAATAAAATGCTACATGATTGACTGTGCAGCACTGCTCTGAAGACTGTCTGTAGATCACTTGAAAAATACCTTGGTAGACTATTATTTATCTATGGACCAAAGTTTGGGAATGAATAAATCAGAGTGCAAAGAATTTTTTCAATGCCTTTTTACTTCCATCTACACTGGCCAACGCAGCAGGTGCATTTTCATCAACTGAGCAGTTAATAACTGGGAAAAACCAATATGCCTGACATGCCAGGCATAAATAACCAAGTGACTTTCTGAAGCCCAGTGCTCTGCTACCTTCTAGAATCACTGGTATAGTTCCCTTTTCCTACTTCTTGTTCTATAGTCGTGCATCTCCTCTCAGATGGTCTCTAACTCTCCTTAACATTCCAAGATTTCAGCTTCTTCTGGATGCTCCAAGAACAGCTGTATTCTGTCATGGCATCCACTCATTTGTCCTCTTTCCACACTCAACTATTATTTAATTTTAAAATCAAATGCATAGCTTAGTGGGTGTTGTATGATCAGACACTCTGCAGCGCCCTGACGGCACACATCAGAGAGAAGAAAATTCTTTTAGTATGCAGTACTTGCCATTTTAAATTGTGAAATAGTCTTTCCCTGAAACCTTCTCTTTGTTGTTCCTGACAAGGTTCTCAAACCCTCACACATGGTAGAGGCACAGTAACAAACGTGTACTAGCTGCCTGCCTTCTTTTTGGTTTTATCTCTAAACCTGAGTGAAATCAGGGGCTGGGATTTCATTTTCCCAGTATTTAAATACAACAACAGGAAGCATTCTCATTCAAGCTCAATGTCAACCAAATTGCCAGCTCTGTTATTTTCATTTACACGTACAGCTTCTCAGCTCATATAAACAGATTAACAAAATGATTAATACAAACTATTTTATTTTTTTGAAGCTTGTAAAAATGAGCAACTGAGCTAGCATATTCAATTACCTGTACTTCCTGTACTAGCCTCTGTCTTACAACAACAGCAGCAGGGCTCAGAAATACCAAGGATGTAGCACGTGTGAACTGCACAATGAGGGAGAAGCATGCAACTCCGGAGAGGTCACCTCTAGACCTCTGTCCCCAAGGAACCCCATTTGCTGAATCATCCTCACTTCCAGCACAGAAGGAAATCTGTGAATAAACTGATAGCTCCCCTCCTCACAAACCTTACTGTCCATTTAACATTCAACCTATGGTCTGCCATATTGTTTCTTGCTTTCCTTTTCTGCCCACCTAGCAACCTGAAGCAGCAAGGACTTCTCTGACCTTAGCTGCAGTATGGTGTCTCTGAAGCTACTAATAGCTCTCAAAACATCTATGTGCTGCAACAACCATGTTCATTCATTAACAAGCCAGTCAAATCTCAAGTGTGAGGAGACATCATCAGCAAGCATAAAACTCTCTGAGAATCCTGCCAGAGATACTGTTACTTCCCTCAAGAAATTAGAAATGTATCCCTTCGAGACTGAAAGTGACACTCATCTGGTCTATTTATAGCATAGGAAGTGCTAACATCCCACCAAACTGGCTCCCTTCAAAATGTGCAGCCTTAACAGGAAATATCACTTTCAGCAATGAGAGGCACTATGTGTTTTGCAGCTGTGGAGTTAAGTTCGCTGACGTCTCTGGCTGTGCACGGGTAAAGTCCATTTAATTCACAGAAGTAATTGGATAAACAAATAATCAGAATTTTTTCATACAGTCTCTTCTATAAACAGATTAAGGCAAGTTCTTTTAGAAGGGAAAAGACTAATGACTGCAAGCTAAGTGCAAGATGCAGCCAAGGCAGGCCTGCCACTGACTCCGTGGGCTGTTTGCTCAAGAGCAGTGAGCATCAGAGCTGTGAACAGAACCCCAGTGCTCCAGCTGCTCATCCTCATCTTAACTGCATGAGCTCGCACTTGTTAAACATTTCTCTGCAGATAACTGCTTCGCAAGCCCAGTTTTGACTCCAGAGTAGCATTAACTGTAGTCTGTCTGAATTCTTAACATCCTATTTCCAAAGACAAGTACAGCTCAGTAAAGCGTAACACCCGGGCTTAGCGTACCACCCAACTTGCACTATGGTCTGCCTCCAGATACATGTTAAATGAACTTGGGGTCAGCCAGGAGACAGAGCAGGACTGACACGTTTTTTGATGATGCCGGGGCACAGCTTGGATCAGCTTTGGAGGATATCTGAATACTGTGAAGGATAGCAGTAGAAAGAATTGACATGTGATGCTGTTCCCCAGGAGCACAGAGGCAAGATGTCAGCAGAGCACTCATGGTATGAACACAGACCCTAAGTGATCAACACAGGTCACAGAATGAAATCAGCCTTCAGATCTGGTAGAATTGATTTTCGGGCAAACGGAGAGGAAAAAAGAATATACATTTAACATATCTCATTGATGATGAGGACACAGAGGAGATAAAAGGACAGTATTAAAGGCAATCGTAACTGCTAGAAGAATGGGAACAACAGAAAGAAAGACTGAACCAGTTGATTCAAGTGTTGTCTCCTGTGGCTAAGGATGTCCTATGCCTGATCAATACTGCTACTTAAAACCCTAGCAGGTCCACACGCCCCTTCTGCAGAGAAGTTCTGCTTTTCAATTTGTCATTTATCACATTCTGCTACTGCAGGCAGGCATGCAGGCTAAAATTGTAGAGCAGCATGTGTCTGCATGTATACATGCCTTCTGAACAAACCTTCCTGCGTAAACTGGTAGATTCTGCAGAAATGAGTCAGTCAGAGTAAACATGAAAGTTTAGGGTGAAGGATGAAACAGAGAAAGCTTCTCAAAAATCCAGGAAAAAAAGTGAAAAAAACAAAGCAAGAAACCTATAATTTTTACCAGGTCACTGAAACGGACTGTATGGCTAGGCAAATTGGACTCACACTACAACCTTCCACCCTGCCCCACTCTCCCCCAAAAAACCCAAAACAACAAAAAATACAAGTTATGTGTTACTTTCAGAGAAAGAGAAACTGCAAAGAAACCTACAAGCCATAAACTAGGAAAAAAAAAACCCAAAACTGAATGCCTTCCCATCCAGCTGGCTCTTATACTTTAAATGTTCCAGTCTGAAGTACTCCAGCATCTTCCTCAGTCCAATTCACCTGCAACTCATCTTGTTTTAAGGTAGCAACGTCTCATTACCCACACCAAGCTTCAGACACGACGCCCTGTCTCTCAGGACGGAATTGGCCAGTCTCACAACTCTTACAGGTTTCAGAGAAATAAGGAGAAGCACATGCCGTTCTTGGTTCTGAAAAGCTTCTCCATCTCATCTGCATGCTTTCACCTCTAGTCAAGCTTTACTCTTTTACACTCCAAAAGAACATCATCCCCCCGCCCCTCTCCAAAATAATCTAAGCAGACAGAAGGACTGCAAAAGCTCAAAGTGGAGGAGAATGAGCCAACTACAGAAATTATTCCTTTCTACTTGGAAGTGGTGTGATGCTGCAGAGTTTGTCCATTCAGTAAAACCTTCTGGAGAATAAGTTGAGGGGAAAGAAAATTTTACTTTAACAACTCACAGATGAAATTGGCCTAACCCTTGCCATGGATTTGTAAGAAATAGTCTAGTCCCTAACCTTTCCTAGCCTGCTTTCTGTTATCTGCTCTTCAGTAGTAACCCGCTGAAAGGGGCAGATGGTACACATGGGGAAAGTGTTAAACCTGAGGTCTACCAACTCTTCCAGCACTCTTGCAAATTGAAAGCATTTCCAATGCTATGGCTGATATAAATCAGACTGCAAACAACTCTGATTAAAAAAAACCCAAACCTGTTGAAAGGAAACAGATCCTCCTGTGCACAAACTGCACATGCTTCTCTTCTATATTTTTCAGACTACTCCTTCCTGCATTCCTTGATCTCTTTCAGGACAGAAACACAAAACTTGTCACAATGTAGTTATTTGCCACTAAATCCCTGTAGTTTTCAGGAAAGAAGACATTAAGAGGAAAAAAAAAAAGTATGCCAGGCATATGAAAAAGAGCCTAATATAATAGAAGAAGGTATTTCACAATAGTGGTTTTTACTGTACAAGTGTAACTAATTCATTATATCCATCATAACAGACTGTATGCAGTGATGGCATCTGTATGAGATCTCAATGGTTTTATTTCACATGCATGTATAAAGCTAACATTAAAAAGCATTTTAAATCACAGTAAGCTATCCCTCTGCTGTAAGTAAAAAAAGAAAAAAAAATCACAATAGCTGGACACATTAACTTGCTGCTAAGACGA